TCATCTCCATGAGGCTATGTTGTTTGTTCGAGGTTCCGAGAAGCACGACTAAGAGGCGATCTCGGCACACATTTGAAGGAGTCTCCTCGGTAGAGTTATCTACGGATGTAATAATTACATCATGTTTATTTCTCAGCACCGTGCAACATTTTACACAGATCGACAGTGATGTTCAACTATTAAATGGGAAGTTGTACATCTTCGTATCACCAAGCGACACTGATTTCTTTAACGTCAATTTTTACCAAGCATAATTACAAATAAAAAGTCATTAAATACACAGACTTAATGTTTCTCTCAGCCATATTGTTTTATGTATGGTCTGTCAGTTCAATGAAGGAGCTGATTTTGTGTGTTTCGTATGGAAGAAAGAAGCTATTTTCTGTGTTATATAGCCTAGATATTTCCTTACCTATAGTACACACTAGATTTGTCTGTATCATATTTTATGGACAAGATATTTTCTCTTTGTCATATTGTATAGAGAAGATGGCTATGCAGGTTTGATTTAACATCCCGTTGAACCGATTTATTATGACCTAGAACTGTTACTAACGTGATCAGTTACACTGACTTACCGATATCGACAGAATCACTGAGTTGATTATCTTCACTATCATTTCTATTGTTAGAGAAATTGTCTTGTTCCTCGAACTTGTCTGCCATTTCCGTTTCTCTCGTCAATGGTTTTGAAGGCAGGCATTTCATTCTTGTCCAGTAGGTAACATTTTCCATCTGAAAATTTCATAATAACCCCCGTTACTTCCTATAACTCGTAAAACAAAACACAACCTCAGTTATGATCTTCTCTCAATTTGTATTTAGTTATCTTGACAAATCTATTTGTATGAGTACTTTTGCACTACATGCGAATGCATTTGTGTTCAGGCAAAACTAGCTAGCATTTACTATCTGATCCCAATACGTTTCCCGTTATTAACTGCTGACGTGCGATTGGTTCGTCCCCCTAACAACGTAGTAACATTTTCCGCATAGAAGTATTCATATATATATAACTTACTTGTTCTTCAGTTCTTGGTTTGGTGAGTAAACTGAGAATGACGATGACAATACCGCTAAACAATACGAGGATAGCACCAAAGTTCATGAAGTGCACTCTGTATAGAAAAGCAGGCCTCGTTTCGGGCATACCACATGGTGGAATCGGAAACATGAACTCGATAACGAGTCTCACTATTCCCACTGCATGTGATATTAGTAATCCATAAAACACACCCTAGAAAAGATAGCGAAACGTGAATTAACTCATTAGCTTATCATTGGCGATGCTCTATTGCACAAACATTAACTCAATATTTTCAAGTATGCATAAACGATAATGTCCGAAATATTTGGGAATCGACAGCAAATCGTTACTGGCAGAATATGATCANAGACCTCATATAACGAAACCGGACAGTCGTTTTTCTGGATATGCAAGAATCATACCACGAGATAGAGAACTTTGGTTTTGAAAATGGGTTAATACACTATCTAGGACGTACACTTTCTGTTGTTCGTTTCCAGAAGAGGGACAAGGCGAAAGCAGAGCTCAGTGGTTCCATGAGACATGAATTCACCATGTTGACATAGTTGTACAAAAGACCCCCTTGGGATCCCTTGATTAGGGGCAGCCAGAGTATACTCGCCACACACATAAACAACACGAACAACCTATAACATAATAGACTAGCACATAGACAGTCATATAAAGTCGTCAGTACAGGTTGTCAAAGGCTGCGAATACAGACAGAGAAGGTGATATCATTTGTTACAATGACATTTCAGTAATAAGATATCTCTATTTGACACGTTAATTATGACTTTTCATTTTTGATAAATACTTGATTAAGGAAATGTAATGACATTGTCATAACGGTGAATACTAAAGCAATAAGCATGACTTTCTAACATTAATTCGAATTTAACCGTATCGATGCGCTCGGACTTTTTTTTCATAATTTCTCTGTAAGCTTTCTTACAT